GCTCTTGCCACTACTCTGCCGCACGCTTAACCTTCAGGCCTGAGTCCCAGACATCGGCTAAACCTGCTTGTCGCAGGGCCGGGCCTTCCACGCACACGCAAGAATGCCCCCGGGCTACAGACTCTGAAATGCTTCGGGTTTGGGGTTGAGGATTAAATTAAGCGTGTAGGTGTTTGAGGGCACCTGCTTGCTTCAGGACTTGTGCAATCGCCTGAGTAGCACTACAACACACATCGCCCATCTCATGATGTTCGCAAGACAGCACCAGCAGAAACCTGCAAATGCCACACCCTGGACCCGTTACCAGAAGCCCCTTGGACAAAACATGAACATAACATTCAACAGCCCCTTGATGTGTATGAACTCACAAGCATCAACATGATCCTAAGGATAGTCCCGACTGCAAGGCACCTACCGACTCGTTCTAGTGCTTGGGCACGAGGGTCAAGGGTTCAGGGTGTCATGTCGAGAGGGCTTAGCTGCTGTTCAGCCGCCATGACACAGTCGCCTTCGTCATCGTCGTCTGAGGTTTGTTAAACCCTAAACCCTAAGCTAGTGCTAGTCGGATCCGCCGCTGAAGCATCCGTGATAGTACATCCAGAAAGACAAGAAATGGCACCTGTGTACTTCTTCCGCCGTCATCGCTCCAGTAGAAGCAGTAGTACTAGTCATAGCCGTGGTCGTAGTCGTAGTTGTAGTCGTAGTTGTCGCAGTAGTCGCACTGGTCGCAGTAATCGTACTCGTTGTTCATATGTACGGTAGGCAGCAAACTTTCCTGTGGCTAACGCAGCAAGCACTGCTTGTCAGTAGCACCACTTGCGAACTATAGACATTGGAACCTTCTACCTCATGGAATCACCTCGAACTTGAAGGTTCAGCCCCTACATCTTGACCTGAAGCCTTGAACCGTGAACAATAGGAAAATGCAGGCCAAGGTGTAAATAACTATGCTTTCCAACTGAACACATGCAAAACATCACTTGGAAACATCCATCTGTAGATTGTGTGGACTTGACTTACAAAGTCTCCAGAACGAGTGGTTTCTCAGCTAACGGCCATTCGTGTGAGTAACGGTGTCATAGGCACAACCGAACAGTTGCCTCTTTGCTTCACGGTGGGTTCGTGCCTTCGAGCAGAGGGGTCATAGGCAATACTCAACAATCATGTTTTGCTTTCAAGTGAATCCTTTAACGTGAGTGCAGTTATAAGGCAAGTTGTTGAACTTCCCAACTAGCAAAGCCCGCAAACCCCTCCGAGCCACAAAACGTGGTCAACACTACTCCCTGACGCACGCAACGTGAAACCGCAGAAGAACACCGCAAAAGCGTAAATCCTTGAGGGGGAACCTTTGTTTGTATATACTTACAATATACATATATCTCAGCCTGTATATATATATATACACATACATACATACATACATACATACATACATACATACATACATACATACATATATATATATATGTATAACATTATAGAACCCTACACCCTACTCACCCTACACCTGTCCTCAAAGCTCCTAGCTGCGCAGATCCCTGGCCTAGGTGGTCTCTGACGAAGATGCGCTCCTTCCGTCAGTGTGTTCCGGGTAGGAACTCCTACCCGTCTTGAGGCTGTTTATGGCGGTTCATCAGGGATCCCGTAGGGTTTAAGGTGGGTTCCTAAACCCTAAACCCTAAACCTTCGTAAACCCTATAACCCTACAGGATTCTGGGCTTGAATGGGTTTGACATAGGGTTTTGCAGAGCTTTGGATCAAAGGGGCTGTGCTTTTGGTATGGGAGGCTGGCCGCGGCCGCGGCTCGCAGAAACGCATGCCGGAAGCTGTAGGGGAATCACTGAAAAGCCTCAACAGCCGAAACTCCACACGCTCGAGCCTTAACACCCTATAAACCCGAAAGCCCTACATGGGTAGCTCTCTAAACTAGGGTCCTATCTTAGGTCCCCAATGTAGTACGGCACCCTTATAAAGAAGGGACCCTAATTTTCGAAAACTACCCAAATGCTCAACCTTCAACCCTATAGACCTTGAAACCCTTAACACCCTATACACCCGAAAGCCGAATGCAGAGAGGGCCCTGTGCCAGCAGGGAAAAATCGGCGCATCGCCGAGTACTGGCCTAAAGCACTAGAACAGTGCATGTAGGGGTTTCTATATAGGGTTCGTTTCATGGGTGTAGTATTGGAGCAATAAGAGTAAGAGCTGGAAGACTGCTGCAGTGAGTATAGGGACTTTCTGACTTTCGCAACTAGACTTTGATTCAAGGAGAATCTCAGAATCTTGTACTATGATAATGTGGAGACCACAAGGGGGAATTACCATCGATTAAGAGGCCCCCCGCCCGGAAGCATCCCTCGGAAAAAGTTGGTATCCAGACCCTTAAACTCTAAACCCTAAACCCCCAAACCCCTATAGTATACCCATAGGCTCCTAAGTAGTTCCTTTTTGGGATTACCTTATAGGGTTCTAAATATAAACCGCAAAAAAGAACTACTTAGGGGGCTATGGGTACTCCACACCCTGAACCTCATGGCTGCCGCTAGGGTTGTCCTCGTCCGCACTGTAAATGCACGACCTTCTTGCACAAGGGTCTGGCGCTTCGGGTTTTGGGCTTAGGACAACTCTGTTTAGACTCCCACGGCAATGGTGAGCAACTACGTACTCCCCTCAACTCACGAAACCAAGAACAGGCACCGCCACGTAGCATGCTTGCAGTGTCCAACGAAATGCGCGGGGTGGGCTTACCTTCAACCCTAAAGCCCAAACAATGGCCAAAATCCTAAACCCTGAACTCCAAGCCCTAAAGCGACATAACTCGCCCTGGTAGTAGAGAAGGGAAGGCATGAGATTTGGCTGACGGACAGAATCTACATTATCTTGAGTACCCTAAAGCATGCGGAGTGTGGCTTAACTATGGATATTGCCGGATTCTGTCCAGAAGCAGCTGAGATACAAGAACCCTTCTGAATCAGGCCCCCCCCCCGTTTAGGGTTGGGGGTTGAGCTGCAGAATTAGGCTTGACGAGCCTCATTAGGCGCCTTAATCATTAGAATAGGGTTTTGGGCTATGATATACGATAACCATACGAAGCCCTATCCCAAACCTTCAGCACCCAATTTCGCTTGACACAACTGAGACATCCGGCACGTGGCTTATTCAAAGATGTGTCTCCACCACTTTTCTGGGGGGCCTGGGGCCTCAAAGACCACAAAAAACAAGAGGATCACACAATCGAGGCTTCAACCCCAAAATCCTGAAACTCGGTTGCAGGCCCTACTCTCCACCAAATAGCACCTTGTACTTAGGTGCTGTCTAGCGCACCTGCCATGATTCAGAATACGGGCTTAATGTGCATTAGGGCTCTGGGCTGTCGGATGTATAGTATAAACGACAGATACGATATATAACTAGGTCCTTATCCTCCTCTGTCCGCTGTACCCCTACTACCCCATACCGCCCGTCCCGTAAACCCCTGGAGCCCTTGACAAAACCCTAAACCCCAAAACCCCAAAACCCTAAACCCCTAAGTCCCAAAACCACTGCCAAACTCTGATCTTTGACTGTCCGGATGGCATAGAATTGGCCTTCACGGCGAGTCAACGTGAGACGTACGAACGTACTCTGCGACGGAACGCATGCGACCATCTGAGCCCAAACGGTCTCTTGGATCACAAACTTCCTTAAGGACGAAATGAACCCTGAAAGGGTGTAAGGTTCATATACCATATAGGAATTTCGGTGTATAAGGGTATGGGGCCCCTCCTTTTTTAAGGGTCCTTTCGTCCTTAAGGTTCTTCGATGTGGAACGATGATAGCACAATTTGTGAAACCTCTGATTCTTAATGCCGCGAGCAAAATTCAAGAAAAATACTCATCATGCTCTCAAGCCAGTGAGTTGCGCGGGGAAGAGTGGCCGGAGATGGCGGACGTCCTACCATCTGCCTCGAAGAATGACGCTCTGAGTTTGGATCTTTGCAACTCGGAAGTCATGAATTGAGGCCGACGCTTGCCAACACTGACACTGTCACTAGGGCAGACATCGCTGCTAGCCACAGAGACTCCACCCGCGCGCTTTGGCTGCTGTTGCTCAGAGATCACCTTAGTTGCCGAGTTCATAACCGCAAAAAAGTTTATAAACTGTCAGTTCTATACTATAGCGGATTACATTACCCCAAAAAAAGGTGTGAAAACTGTATTATACTACAGGGGATTACATTATCCCAAAAAAAGATGCGCAAAGTGTTACTAAGTCAGCCTTCTCTAACCCTAAACCGTAAACCCTAAACCTTAAACCTTACACCCTAAACCCTAAGTCAGCTTCTAAGCCGCCAGGATGATGTGGCGACCGTCAGGTCCAGAAGCGCGCGGAGAGTCAGCAGGTAGGTGAGCCATGGAGAGAACCTAGCTTCCCCCCTATCCGCTATGTACTACTACTACTACTACTAATAATAATAATAATGATAATGATAATGATAGTAACAAGTAATAATAATAAGGATAATAAGAATAATAAGAATAAGAATAGAACTACTTACAATACTAACAACAATAATAATACTAATAATAATAATAGTAATAATAATAACGAAGGATGCCTTTTTCCGACTATGCGACTTTTGTCAGAAACCGGGCAGGGATACTACAGGGGGCGCCTTGGAACCCTAAAGCCGTGCTACAAAGACCTATTGGGTAGTTCTCTGAACTAGGGTCCCCTTCCGAGAACCAAAACAGTACAGTACGCCGCCCTTTTAACATCAGGGAGCTTAATTTGATAGAACTACCCCCCAAAAGAGCTCCTAGAGACGGCGCAAGGACTCCTCATGGAAGAGGCGCCCCCCACACCAACCCCAGCTGGGTTTCGGTTTAGGGGTGGTACCTATAGTCTCCATTGTAGTTCCTTTTTGGGGATACCTTTTAGGATCCTTAATATAGAATTGGTTAACCCCAAAAAAAGGGAACTACAATGGAGACTATAGGTAGGGTTGAGGGCTGTGGGTTTCGGCGCTCGCACTAGGAGACCCAAGGCGAGGCATGTGACTGTGGTTTAGGGTTTATAGGGGCTTATAGGGTTGTTTTGGGTTTTAATGGGGTTCTTAGGGGGTTTATAGGGTTTTTAAGGGTTTTAATAGGGTTTTTAGGGGTTTAGTGAATCCCTGCTGGGGATCTTTGGGCTTCGTAGGCAAGGTTATCATCACTATTTTAAATGGAGTAGAAGCAGTTAATTGTACGGTATGGTGACATTATTTCTCGGCCTAGCTATTCGTTCCCATGATGCGTTAGTGGATCCTCAACTTGCAAAAACCTTGATTAGAGAGCAGCCCTAATTTATGTAGCAGGGCCCGCGCACTGTACCCCATAATACACCGTGTAGTAACCCTTATTGAACCATCAAGGCAACCTTTAAAGGGAGCCCCCAACCCTAAACCCCGAGCCCCTAAACCCTAAACGAGGTCAACCTTTAAAGGAACCTTTGACCTAAACCCTGAACCCTACCCATAGGCCCCCAAGTAGCTCCTTTCTTATGGTTCATATTTAGAATCCTATAGGGTAATCCCGAAAAGGAGCTACTAAGGGTCCTATGGGTAAACCCTAAACCCTAAACCCCTAAATCCATAAATTCCTAAACCCTAGGCTCTAAACCCTAAAGCCAAGACCGAGTGACTCCATCAACCACTTGTCCAGAGATCCCGTGAAGCCCGAATCTGCCCAAGGTGGCAGCGACGAAGGAGGGGATCTCCGACTGGCCTCGAAGACAAACCCTACTGTTGATGTAGTATCCTTAAAAGGGGACCCTGTTGTAGACCCGTTGCAGTACCCTTAAAAGGGACCCGATTATAGACCTACGGTTGATGATATAAATCGTGCATTACCTTAAGGTCCCTAAACTATGGGAAGTATGGTATATTCCTTACTATGGGTAATGCAGGATTTATATCATCAACCGTAGTTACACTCCATTAAAGTAGTCCCTGTTTAGGTAGGGTTCAGGGTTTAGGGTTTAGGGTTCAGGAGTTTAGAGGCTTCGACGTTTAGGGTGTAGGGTTTAGGCTTACGTTTCTAGGGTTCCTTTAATGGGCCATAGACGGTTAGTACACAGGGTGTTATGGGGGTAGTGTACCATTACTACAAAATAAGCCTCCCTTTCACCTGCGAGAGATGTTTTTGCAAGGGTTCAGTATAGGAGTTTAACTAATTACTTGGATTGGGGTTGTGACGCATATATTTCTTATACTTAATCCCTGAACCCTAAACCCTATACTAGGGGTGTATAGAGGTTATAGCTTACAGGGCTTAGGATCTTGATTTCCTTTTTCGGGTTTAGGGTTTAGCGGTCTTTTTTCGGGTTGGGTCTAGGGATGATCTGAGGTCTAGGCATTACGGCTTAATTTTAGGTTTAGGGTTGAGAGAACCGCTTAGGGACTAGGAATCGTTTTTCGGGTTAAGGATCCGTTGAAAGGGGCCTTCTGAACATGTTCGGCAGCCAAGCCCCAAACCCCAAACCCCTGAATCCTAAACCTTGAACCCTAAACCAAAATTCCTAAACTCTACATAAACCCAAAAATGAAAAATTAGAATCCCAAGCACTGACCGAGCGACTGCTATCGGCCATGGATTGGTTCACCAGCATCATTCGTCTGATCACGGCTGCATTGGTTTTATCTTGGAGCAGAGAAAAGAAGGACATGCCCATCAAATCCAGCCCACTGAAGATGGCACCTGCTCTAGCCGTGGCCTTCTGGATTACCAGGTCATCAAAAGCACACTGCAGGGCGACTGCGTTAGGAACCAGGCCGAGGACCGCCCAAATCATGCAGCGAATCTTCTCCTAGGCTCTTCAGTAACCCCCTGAAAAGAAGTATATACTTTTTCAGGTTAATTGTAATATACTAGGAACCCAGGAACCCAAAAAGTAAAAAAGTATGCTACTGAGCAGCCTAGTCTCCGAGATGGAAGTGCCAGCGGTACCGCCGGTGCTCTGCGACGCAGGGCTGCTCACCTCGCTTACAGCGCCAACCGCGCTGTTTGCAGAGTCTGCCTGGGCTCACTGTAAGGATCCTAGTTAGGTTTAGGGCTTTAGGGCTTTAGGGTTTTAGGGTTTTAGGGTTTAGGGGTTTAGGGCTTTAGGACCTAACTCAAGTCACCAGAATAGGGAAAGGGTATTGTTTGCTATGTAGCCCTACTTTGGTAACTGATCCTCAACCAGAACCCAGCTGCTTGCCCAGGATCCTCTTTTGAAGCCTCTGCGCTCAAGCTGGAGACGTTGCTCCAGGAGCCAAGGCCCAGAAGCAAATCCTCTGAATGACCGTGACCAGGCCTCTGCCTGAGTAGCTGCTCATATCGGGACCGGATCTCTGCGATCTGCGCCTCAAACTTCACTCGCTGCTCCTGCAATCTGGAAGCATGATCACGGTAGGCGTCTTCCAGCTGCACCTGGTGTTGCACCTCCTGAACCTCAATCTTGCTGAGCAGAAGGTTTCTCCTTAGTCTGGCCCAAAAAAGCCTGCGAAAGCTGTTTATAATTAAGATCGACTTATCGGCCCCAACATGAAAGATACGAAATGTCCCAAAGGATTACCTAGTCTCTCTTCTTCCAACTCCCTTATCCGCTTGTAGAGGGATTCCTCTGGGGAGTCGTCTTTAGCCTGACCGTGCATCTCATCTGTTCCAGCATTTCGCCTGCGTTCCACTGCAAGCTGTAATCGCAAGGAGTTCATCTCCCGCAGCTGGTGCACTGCTTCTGTCTGCTGCTGCTGCAATGCCTCGCTAAACCCTAAACCCTGAACCCTAAACCCTGAACCCTGAACCCTAAACCCTAAACCCTGACTCTAGTGGAGCATGGACAAAGATGATGCATGCTCTTGCGTTCAGCCAGCAGCTGCAAGCCGAACCTACACCCCTAAACCTTAGGCCCCTAAGTATATAGTTCCTCTTTGTGGTTTGTATTTAGAATCCTACAAAGTACTCCCAAAAAAGGAACTACTTAGGGGCCTATGGGTAAACCTTATAAACCCCAAATCCGTTAAGCAAAAATCCCTACTCAGAAGCCCAGGTTGCATCTTGCAAGCGCAGGTTTGAGATTCGAAGCGACTCGGCTTGCAGCTGAATTTTCTCCTGCAGTGCGGCATTGGTGAACTCTTGCTGCTCCTCTTTGTCCGTCTGCACCTTCATTTCCACAAATAGTGCCTCCTCTAGCTCCCTCACTTTGACGTGCAAGTCATCCACCTGCTGCAACTGCTTGATCTTGTCCTCTTTCCCAATGCTCTGCAAGCGGATATTCTCTGCAGAAGTTGTTTCCTGAAGAACTCCAGCGGCTGCAAGCTGCCTCTGCAGCTGAGCTACCTCTTCCACATGCTCGGCATGCTGACCAGCGTGGTCATCTCGCCTGGGTTCTGATTATCATGAACTTCTTCTAGTTTTAAGATGCCATGTCATAACAGCACCCTGTCTTCCACATAATCCTGCTTAACTGCCATCCTGCCGTAACAACAAGGTCCTTAAGAAGCACCGAGAATCATGTCTTGCTTTGCCTTCCGCTCAACTGTAAGCTCGGCCAATAGCTTGTTCAACAGGTCATTCTGGGCAGATTGATCTGGATTCCTGGGTGCACCCATAGGCCCCTAAGTAGTTCCTTCTTGTGGTTTATATTTAAAATCCGATAAGGTAATCCCAAAAAGGGAACTACCTAGGGGCCTATGGGTAGTTTATCGTTTAGAGCTTAGGACTGGTTTAAGGCTTAGTTTAAGGTTCAAAGGGCAATAACACCTTTCGCATCATCTTGTGGAACTAGGAAGGCACCTCTCCAAGGCCATTGTTCGAAGCTACACATGCGAAAAATATCGCCACCGAGCTTCGTAAGGTCGTCCAGATCTCCACAGTCGCTGCTGTCACACTCACTGGCCAAGGACTCCGCTGCGCGTGCTGGCAGCCCAACAGAGCCTTCTTCCTCCTCTATAATCTCCAGCATGCCCTTGCCTGCTCCCCTTCCTCGCCCCCTGCCTCGCGACCTTCCTCCTCCCCCTCCTGCTGCCTGATGTGCCTGACGAAGCTCTGAAGGAGACTTTGCTTGGTCAATGGCTTGCATCGCTTGCTTTTTCTTTAGTCCGAGAAGTTCCAAGCGAGCTTCGCTCATGTCTTTCCGATCTTGCGCCCTCTCCTTACTTGTCATATCTTGTGGGGTAAGCTAGGGTGACTATACGTGAGATGCCAGCGTCTGACAAGGGACATGTCAAGTTAATCCTAAACCCTAAACCCTAGGGACCCTAGACCCCAAACACACATATAAAGCCTGAACCCTACTATAAACGTGACATGTTCTGACCCCCGGAGACTCCTCGATGAGCAAGTCAATCTGATCCTGAAGGCTCCTCTCGCTTGCGGTGCTCCCAAGATTCGGTTCATCCCGTCTTAGCAGCGCGAGTTGACGGTTTGCACTGCTCAGCAAGCCCTCCAACTCCTCAATCCGATTGTCGCTGAGCTCCTTGGCCTTTTCCTGATGCCGGGTCTCTACGAGTTCCCGCTGCTTTGACTGGCGGAGATCCCATCGAGCTGCATCGAGTTCGACTTGAGCCTCTGCGGCTCTTGCCTCAGTCTTCCGGTCCCTGTCTTCAAGCTTCAGCCGGTCTTCGTTCGCGGCAGCTAGAGAAGATGCACTCTTGGCCTTGTCGCCCGCAGCCTTCACTTCCACGGCATCACGCTCGTCTTCCGCTTTCTTCCTAGCCTTGACTGCATCTGCAAGCTGCGACTCGATCGCCGTCATCCGCTCTTGATTCCGGCTGTCGATGTCCGTGCAGTCTGCTATCATCTGTGTTGCCTGAGCATCCCTTGACCGCAAGGCCGCTTCCAGCGCTTGATTCTTCGCTTGTAGCTCCGCCACTTGCTGGGCTTCTTTCGAAGCACCTGAGGAGCTCTCTGATCCCAAGGCCTCACTGGTACGAACCTGCTTGTAGCCGCTGCTGCCAGAGCCGCTGCGTGCATTCGACTGCCTCTCTCTCCCGGAGTCAGCAGCAGACCGCGCGACTGCTGGAGATGCGGTGACGGAGTGCGGCTGTTGCGACGATCTGCTTTGGCTATGGCGAGCCTCGATGTCTCGCTCAGCTGCTTCCGCAGCTTGGAGTTTGTCTCGAGGCTGTGACGTGTTGCTACTATTGCTGTTGCTTCCCCGCGACTCTAGGCGGAGATGCTGCGAATGCAGTTCGTTCGCCAGCTCTCTCTCATCCGGCGGCAAGGAATTCCAGCTTTTCGCAGACTGAGACCTTCCAGAGACGCTGCTTGCCTTGCTGCTGCTTCGATCAGGGTCACCACGATCCATGGTCGCTGCGCTGCGACTGCTGCGGAGGACGCTTGCTCTCAGAACTCACGTGTTAAGCTTCACCGAAGCACATCGAAGTCATGAGTTTATCACTGCCCCTGCCTGCCTCGCAAAACATGTCAAGAAGTACTCCTAAAACCTTAACCCTGACAGCGTCTGTCTGAACCGAGAATGATGCAGGGTCAGTCTGCCAACTCGATCAGCGGTTTGCACAACAGCCTGCGCGTGCTCCACCGTTTTGATACCCGACTCATACCCTAAAGCCGAAACCCTCAACCCATCGTCAGCAAACTTAATACCGACCGTGCGACAGGTTTGTGGAATGCAAGCGCGTTGAGACCTAAATCCGGACGGTTTGCCGCGGTATGGCGGCGAAGAACACTACTACAACCGAAACTATCACTGCCAAGAGCAACATGATCGTGCCAACGCCAGCATGCTCGACTGTCCGAGTGGTATCATTGTAACGATGCAGTCACACAGATACTTCGGATTGTGCAGTCACTACGCTGTAACATCAATGGCCGTAAACCCTACCCGCTAAACTCAATGCAACGGCCGTGTCTCTTGCTGTCTGCAGGGTTTCGGGTTTTGGGATTAGGGTTTAGGGTGATGCCTCTGTCAGTAGCACTGAGGAGACCCTGCTGGATGATGCAATAACCCTAAACCCTACACCCTACACCCTAAACCCCATACCCCTAAACCCTAAACCCTAAACCCTAAACCCCTAAACCCCTAAACCCAGCCGCGTGGCCCAGGCCTCCCAGTCCGGCGCGGCCGGGTACCCCCGGTCTGACCGGGGAGCT